TTTTACAAATAACCCAGGATATTTTAGTTGGTGTCAATTTCATATCGATTTGTAGCTTAGACATAACTATAACATTGTTTGTCTAATAATGAATACAATAGTGAAATCCATTGGGGTTACAATACAATGCGTAACCTAGTAAGTGGCCAGCAGGAACCAATTAAAAGTCATTCTTATGGATGTCACGTCATGTGTACCTATACATAGACATAATGTTGTTTATTGAAATATGCTAGTACAAACAGATACTCTATTCGATATCTATGGCATTCGTTTCACTGCCAGGTAAGGTTCTCGATATTTTGACGTTAGTGTGTGCACCATTTTCATGCGCGACATTTTAACTTTCCATCAAGCGAATTTGTACAGAAATGTAGTCTAGTTACGTGAAATCTGATTCTAAAGTTACTAGTACTTGTACTTTTGGAATAGCACATGAGTGTAAAGCAATAATTCTCAAAATGGTCGGTTTCGTACCCCCAGGGAGGGTTCATCTCAATGAAAATAAAAATTGGGGTTATATAGGATGCAAATAGGTGTATACGAGGTCGTGTACGAAATTTTGATTTTTCTTATAATTATGAACATAATACTTTCTTATAATAGAGATAAAATTACCTATCAAGTAATAATTTTTAAAACATCAATGCTTATGAAGCTAGATTCGATTAAAATGACATGTAAGTGTAAAATGAAATGACAATAAAATGTGTTAAAATGACATGTTTTTTCACTTGTTAAGCCCATCAAAGTGAGTACTGTACCGGCTGTCTAATACACATTTAAAGTAGATGAATTTGTAAAAAATCAATACTAGAAATTCAGTTATTGGTAATTTGCATCAATATCATTTTATTTGTTGCACATAAAAAATTCTAATGTAAATATAATACAATGGTGTATAGAACAATTTATTACTATTTACATTATTATTATTATACTTACATTATTTATACTATTTATTTTATTGTTCTATACAATATTTACTAATATATTAATTAGGGGATCTACTCACAACGGAAAAAAATGGCACGTGGTCTACGTGTCAAATAATTTGAGGATCTTTGGTCTAAAGCATGACAATGTATATATGTAGCAATTTCGACTAGAAGCTATATTCATACTAGGCACATGTTACTAGATTGTTACAAGTATTAGTATTTATAGAACACTGACTTGCTATGAATGGAAGTGACATCGGCTTTTTTTATTAAATAACTGGACCAATTTTGTAGTTGTTTCGTTATAAACGCTTAATAGACGAAATCACAAGGTCTTTGTTGAATAGATAGGCTGTGAGCAACGTATTTGAAATATGGTATCTCCACACATTCTACTTCTGATTATGAGTTCTATAACTGAAATAGTTCTAGAACTCACAATCAGAAGCGTGCGTCTAACCATTAAATGTATGATTTCAGAGTCATTGTCTTTCACATTACGTTTAAGTTGTTTTCTGTATATGGGCTATATAATTTCTGAAACAAATGAAATGTAAATCGTGTGTAACATCATAAGTGTCTCAACAAATTACTTGAATATATATATATCATCGTGAAATATTAAAGAATATTTCAGGTTACCACACTCGAACATTAGATGATATTTCATGATGATATTTTATAAATATTTAAATAAAAAGAAATTGTCACCAAAATTGAGTAAAAAAAACTTACCAGGAAATCACCCAGTAATGGCTTGTCAGTGTCTAGCCATCGAGTTACTATTGAATTGCTGTTGCAATTTTTTGGTATTCTGCTTTTCCATCGATACGCCATTATCGATGGTATGTCGATGGTGTGGTCTACTAATTATTTGGCATTGAATTGCTGATTAATCAAGATAAAAAATAAGAGATGTGCAGTACATTCCATGATAGTTTTAGTAAGGCAACATCGATCGTTAGTAATTGAATTAATATAGTAAATTATATAATGGATAATAAAATGTAGTAGCAGTAGAACTCCATTTGTTAGTGTAGTGTGACCACACTAGGAACGATAGAGTACGATTTGGAGATGAGAAACCCCTGGGAAACCCCTTACAGAAAATAGCCATAAAGATTATTGCATTTATCTACAATCTATAATATATTTAATAATTAATTACGTAACCTATTGCATCAAATCTAAAAATGCCCCTAATAGACCATAAACACTACGTAGTACAGTGATAAAGGCCTTGTTAAAAATTAAGAAAAAAAAACTCCTCGTGAAAGAATTCGTCGTCGAAGGTTAGTACTGTCACTTTACCTTTTTCTGCCAAGCTGTAATGTCAGCAGTACAATGTACCGGTTTTGAAGGGTAAGGTTGCTGGTGAGATTACTGGCACATGGGCCTTGTCAACTTATGTCTCAGGGGAACGGGCGATTTAAAGCTCTGGATGGCACTGCAACTGTTATGGATATGTAAAAGGCGCACGACTTGTTCGTCCCGCCGCTTAATATTATAAAAAAAAATATCGAGTGAATGCCGTCACTGCCATTCCACTGATACTATTGAGACTCAACTGCCTTTGCAATTAGACATATAGAGATAGACTCAACAGAATTACAGTGACCAGTGGTTTTGAGAAAAAATAGCAGGATTGGGCCCCTGAACAAAATCTAGTTGCAACGGCAGTTAAGTCTCAGTGGAATGACAGTGATGGCATATTCATTCATTCAATTACTAACGATCGACGTTGCCTTACTATTATCATGGAAATGACTATGCAAATTTTAATTTTTATCACTTTTATTCAGCAATTTTGTCTTCAAGTTTTATACGTGTAATATTGCAGAATATCAAAAAATTATCACCGACTAGCTTCTACTCTTAACTTTTAGCAGAACAGCAAACGTTGAAAATCTTGCCATTGACATTGTCGGTATATAATATGACTTAAACTGATATGATTTAAAATTAGCAGAATTGGGGCCCTGGTTCGAACCCAGTCAGACCAAGGAATTTTTCTTTGTGTTCGATATTTGTGTCAATATGTATGTAATGTATTCTCGTAATAAAAATCATTTACCAATCATCAAATTGACGTTATACTAAATTTAGCGACCTCAAGCGTGCGATCATCGCAAGGTCTGCATGTCCTGGCCTCGCGTATTGCATTTATTATGCCGCTTTTAGCTCTGACATCACCTTCAAGCCAACCCAGTTTGGCCTGATTTCGTCACCGCTCATAGCAAAAATGACGTCATGACCTCACTGTCGTATAAAGCTGTGATATATAGCTGTATTGGCATAATATGTGAGTAAACCCATTGATGTAGATAGATATCTCATTTTGATGTTTTATCATGTTGCCTTGTAACACAACCATTTCCGAAATATTGAACTTGAATAATAATAAAAAGTCATTTAAAAATTCAAGTCATTTTATAGCACTAAAATGTCTTCCGACACCGTTCCGACACACTGAGGTCATTTAAATAATAAAAAACAAAAAAAAATTTCTGAAATGAATTGAAATGGTGAACGTAAAATGGAGCATGTTAATAATAGAACACATTTTTTTTATTTGATTGGCGTGCACATTTTTACTTGAAATGAAATGAGTTAACTACATCATTGCTGCACATGATTGCATATGTACAAGAAATAATTAGTCAATTAACATGAATAAAATAATAGTTACAATGTCAAGCAATTAATTATTATACATAATATACGAAGTACTAATTTTATGTCAATATTTTTATGTATACATATATGTAATCTCTGTGATTTATGCAGTTTCGTAAGAAAACATAGAATATTACTATTTTACAAACTGTTTTTGGAATTACAATAAAAACTATGATAGACATCAGCATTTATGTCACCGTAGACCTGTTCTGGGCACTTCTTAGTTAAGAAATTTGCTAGTTTTTAAAGCAAACTGCGTTATGTGCGTAGATAAAAAAAGCTATAAACTAAAAAAAACAATTATTGTTCCGAAAACGGATTTTTAAATGATACTTTATTAATTATCTGAAAATTGTGATAAAAAGAGATAAATAATATAAAGCAAACAAAATCACAGTATTAAACTTTTTACTTTATTTCCATTTAAAAATTGAACATAGAGGGTTAACAGTAATTTTAAAATAACTAGTTTTGTAATTGTTCAGAATTAACGTAACTAGTTTTGCTACAACACAATGATAACTGGCTAGTTTTGTTATAATAATAGTAAAAAATACAACTTGTATCTAATTTTAATTTTTCTTTAGACCCTTAAATCCACGTCGTCAACCATCAATGTATTTTCATTATCTGTCAGTTCTCCGTCTTCGGCCACATTTGATTGAATTTGCCCGATAATATGAGTATACAATTCAAGAATTTAGTATGTAAGCCAATCTTCTCCGAAATGTTTGACGATCAAGTTTTTAATAAATGAACACGAAGGACCTCTCGGATGACAAAATAATAAATAGGAAAACAAAATAACGGATTTTGCGCGCGTTTATACTCAATAGCGCTCCTGTTTGCAGGTTGACGATAAAATGGCAACTTTTGATTAGTAAAAATAAGAAAGATAGAGGCTTTTGCAAAAGTAGTCAACATTTGACACTAATTTGTTCAGAATTTACCAAGATTTGGCACTGTATTGTTGAAGTTAAGTTAAAATAGTTACTCATCCATTTCACGCAATTACTTAAAAATCATTCTTAATGTCACATTGTGCTGTTTGCAAGTGGACTACTCAACTAACGTAATCAACATTATTAGCGAAATTGAGTTATTAACATATCTGTAAAAAGCGAAAGGAGATATGAAATTCCCTTTAAGCGGTATTTTTATATCTTATTTAGTTTCAATTTATTTGTCAAACAAAATCAGCGTAGTGACATTTTTCAAATAAAAAAAAAAAGTTGCCAATGTCTCGAAAGTTAATAAAATGGAAGTTATGTTAAAGTTAAATTATGACTAGTAGTTCACAGTTTTTTAAGCAATAGTTTCTAAAGACTGCAGGAGATTAAATAACTGATGTATTTCAACAATATTTTCTTATTATTTCAGGCACTGACATGTGCCTGTGTGGGCATCCACTACCACAGCTACAACTCGGAGCCTGACATCGGCATGCTGGTCACCGGTACCTTTGTCGGATACCTCATCATCTTCGCCGGTCTCGCTGCAGGTTAATTTCTTAATTAACTATGTTATTTTTAACGATTTAATGCCATTTTATTTACAAAAGCTGTCGCGTTGTCATAATCCCAAGTACCTAACTTTATGATCTTATAATGTCTGAGATCATCATTTTATGTCTGGCATAAACGTACAAAATTTAATTTATTTATCTCATAGCGAACTTAGGATGGACGTACTTATTTTGTTTTACATAATATTTTGTGTAGTAAAAAAAAACAAGATACGAAATCCACATAAAGATTAAGTAGTGAAACAGTGTTACTAAAACAATACTATAGTGTCAAACTAAAACTCTGCTAGGTTCAGTACAGTGTAGTGTTGAGTAAGGGAATAATTTTCATTTTGAAAAATTCATATTTTTCAAAAAAATAGATATTTTTTCCAATATTTTAAAATAAAAAAATACTTTTTCTAAATTTTTCCATATTTGACAGTTGACACCTGTCAAAAGCTGAAGATACTGAACGAAAACCATGGAGTCATTATAGAGATTTTATTTACATACGATTCTATTTTTCGCTGTTGTCCAATCATTTAAAACCTCGTTTTACTTTAACTTTCATTTAGCCATAAAATTTTATTTTATAATTCTAAATAAATAAACTTCAAAAGATATTTCGAAACAGCCTCAGAATTACATATTTCCGTTTTTTCAAAAATTTTCCGGTAAATTACCCAACTACTAAACACTGTACTAGTGTTTAGTAGTTTCATTATAACAAGAATCTTTCGGATCTCATATTTCGAATCCTGGCGTTTTGTAATTAAAAATAACGATATTTTCTGATGTAACAGATCGAATTAGCTAAAATTTTGAGCAACGAGGTAATATAAAAAAGCTTAATATCTGAAGAATATTCAAAATATAATATATCATTTTCTCAAGTTTTGCTTTCAAAACACTCAAAAATCGTGAATATGACCGTAAAATCGTGATTTTGCAGATAACCGGTTACTTTTTGCAGTTGAAACATTGATTCACTTTTCAATAGAAATATTATAAGTAATTTAAATGTACATTTTTATGTTATTAATCCCGAAAATTCCAAACCACCGAAAAATCCTTTTTGCAGCTTTTTCTCGTAATGTTGTTTTTAATATTACTGTGTTTTGGTTTGACACAATACAATAAATGTACAATTTAACATACCCATGTAAATATTTACTTATACTATTAAATACTATACTATTAAATACAATAACTTGTACTACTTACATGTATAGAGGTATGTATATAGGTACCGTATAAAAACTACTCATACATTTTCCAGGTTTCGTAATGCAGACGCCGTCACACAAGCGCGTTAATATTTTCTTCTCTCTGGTTGGTGTAGCTCTCTTCGTGGCGAGCGGGGCTGTTATCATTGACCGGTAATTAATAATTTTATTTATTTACTTACATATAAAATTTTACGTTATGTAAATTATAAAGTAAGTAATTCGTATTTTTTTCTTTCTATTTATATGGATTTAAATGCCCACAAAAAACATTGAACGACTGGTTGATACATACTTCCATAGAGATTTGTTTAACTTAATGATAATTCTCAATATTTCCAGTTACCAAGGCCAGACTAATGACCACGGCAAGAAAAACTTAGCAAAAGCTTCACTGGCCATCATCAACGGTGCGATTCTCCTAATTGACGCTGTGTTGACGCAGCGCGGTGGCTAGATGGCGCCGTTACACTACATTTAAAGTAATACTACGCAGTACCACCAAGTACCAAGAGATGACGCTGAAATTAAGTTATGACTACAATAGGGTGTAATGTCTGTTTATCCCATTCCCTCACGTTTATTTATTTATGGTCTTTTGTTGTTAATAAGTAAGTTATGCAACTCCTATTTATTGCTTTTATTTATACACTACAAAGAACAAAGTAATTAATAAGAAAACTTTGGACATTTCTCTATCGTTACTGTAATGTTGATAAAAATACTACGATTCCGATATAATAATGTGTTCAAATTGTAAGAATATTTACACAACTTTACAAAATAGGTACAGTTTTACTAATCGTTAAGGAATTACAAGCGAAATCGAATTATTACAAGGCTTAATTACACGTTAATCAAATATATTTGATACTATATACTTGTCTTTAAATGATTTTACTATAATCATCGAAACTGACTAAATATATACCAATAATCTTAGTGCCTACGCTAGACGACACAATTTTATTTAAAATAGGATATCTACTGAACGTTTATAATGTGCGTGTATTTTGTAAAATATTGTACATCATTCGAAAGCTTGACAGAATCATGAAAGAGCAAAAAGAGAAGCTTGACAATTTTGTACTGTTGTTTATTTTAAGATAGCATAAGATTTTTTTTACGTGTCTCATAAATATAAATCTCTGATAAATCTTTGAAATTATACAATTTTGAACTGCTAAGATATTTGTATCGACTTATATTATATACACATTATTAATATACAAGTGTATATTTTAATACATAACCATTGACTTACAATTATATGGACGTCGGGTCCGCGCTAAAAAATGTCCGAACTTATAGGGCGTTAAAATCGTATACAGAGCGTCATTCACGCTTTAGTCTTCGTTTGTTCGACTGACAGCGAAGCAAGCAAAATTAGACAGTAATGCGATGACATTACAATTTAAATTCAACGTTTTAGCTTTTTCATATTCCTTCACATGTCACTACGTTTAAATAGGTTGACTTGGGACATTTTTTTCGTGGTTTTTGTATTAGACCCGTCGTCCATTTATTTGTAAGTCAATGTACATAACTCAATTTAAGTTCAACAGTAGGTACCGTATTTGATCAATACTTTTTTTATATAAATTATATAAAATAATTTTAACATTGTTGTTTGATTTCATTAAAACAATTACTTAAAAGATCAGTTCACAAATACTCGAGTTATCGCGTAACATACGTACAAAAAAAAATACAGTCGAATTGAGAACCTCTTCCTTTTTTTGAAGTCGGTTAAAAATATGAATGTTTGGTGTTAAAACCAAGGAGCTTTTTTATTTTTCATCTCATATTAGCAGGTTTTGCAAATTATAGCTGGACGCTGGAATAACGCTGCAATGTTATTTTCTCTAAACTGCTAAGGCCCTGTGTACATACATCTAAATGTACAGACGGCAGCACATCAAGCTACGGATGATTGACGGATCTTGTTCTGTCGCGCTGGAGGGGTATTCGAACAAAAGTGTATGGTAATTCTTACAAAATCTCGAAATTCTTGCCCTTTAGGTTTATAAAAAAAGTTATAATTCAAATTTTAAAATTATAATTCAATTGCTACGTATGCCTACGTAAAATATTAAAATATTGTATTTAATTTAATTTAAATACTGCCTCCGTGGCCGAACGGTTACCATGCCGGACTGCCACGCAGAGGTCCCAGGTTCGATTCCCGGGCCGGGAGAAATGTTTGTATGGCCTACATTTATTTCTCTCGTGAGTTTGGGTGTAATTTGTGGTTGTCTATGTGTGTGTCCATGGCACCCGCGACACAGGGTTTCCCTAGTGCGGGGCTATGTTGAGTGTGTTCGTTATTTATTTATTTATTTATTTATAATTATAATATTAATATAAAAAGTCCCCAAAATGATTCCCTCACTGTGTCCCAAGTTCAATAATTAAACACCTCGTATGTTTTAAATTACTTAACACATTTAACAAAAATAATAACCTTTAAATTTTAAACATTCAATCAAATAAAATATGCTTCTGCGAAATTAAAGCTATCCTGTGTTAAAAACACGATTAATAAATATAAAAAAATGTACGTTTATTCATGTCTCAACTCTCAACTAATAAAATCATTCCCTCACATCATATAAAAAGAAGTTAAGCATTTAATTTTATTACTAAATTTATACACTCAGATGAGTTATTGGTAGCAATAAGCTTACATAAAATATTAAGTCTAAAAATAAGTTCATATTGCTATTTTTTCTTGGTTTATTTTGATTTCGTCATTCCCTCACCGTAATTCCCTCGCCATGTTGTTCTGACACCCTATGCTTTTTCAAAATTAATTTATTTTGAGGACCACTATATCATCGAAAACTATTTACATAAGCACTATGAAATTTACAAATAATAAATACAATTTCTTCCCAATAATTTGCATAAATATCGAAAGCACGAATTTCGGAATTTCATAAGAACTGTCCGTATAAGCTTGAATGTATATAATATGTGAAGTGATTCAGACTCCAGACAATATTCTTCCTATGATCACGTAAACGCTCAGTGTACATTAAGATGAAAATATTGCATTTAATTTTAGCGTTATACATATATTCTATATTAAGGGTATCCAGAACAATACGTTAAAAAATGGGCCTAAAGCATATATTTGGTATATTTTAACAGTATTGGGCGTTTAGAGCTTTTCCCACTGTAGTTTGCTGAGTCATAGAGGTTAAATTACGAATGGTATCTATAGCGAATTGACGATATATTAAGTAAACATTTTTATTTTCGTTTTATTAATTTTTTTAATCAGCTACCCCTTGCAATACTAGTCATAAATCTAAAAATCCATAGATGTGACTCGCATTTGATTGTATTTTTTTTCGATAATGAATTGAGATTTGACCTCATTATTGTAATCCGTCAATATAGCCATCATAGCGTGCCAGTACATACGGTCATCGCCTAAGCCAAAATGTTTGCTTAATTTTTAAATTCGGAAAATGTAAAGATAATCATAAGGTTGAAAAAGACGCCATTACATTTTAAGTTAAAATAAATGAATTTGATTTATGTGCTTTATTAGGAAATTAAACATTTTTTCTCATCTATTCGCGTACATTTGTTTTTTCAAACAAACCAACGATTCAGGCGCTTTGCCGGTCCCGTGGTAACGGCTTACTAGTTTATTTGAAAAAAAAAAAAAACCAAATATACGTCATTAGACCCGAACAAACTATTCATTTCCTATGTGTAACATTCGCAAAATCCTAAGAATCTGTTATATGAAATGTGCTAGTGAAATCACAGGCACATGGGATTTGTCAGTTGTCAAAGAGTAACGCAATGGCAGTCTCAATCTTTGCGATTTAAAGCTCTGAGCGGCATTACAACTGCTATGGACTAGCATGTCGCTTGCCACAAGACGCAGGATCTGTTCGTTCCATCACTTGGTATCATAAAAAAATATGCTTTAGTCGGTAGATGTATTGATTTAAACTAATGATGTTGGTTTTTGACTAATTTGTTTTAGTTTGCCGATCTTACTTTTTCAAAGGCAAGTATAATCAGTGTAATATAATATTTATGTTCTAATAGTGGGCGCTGAAGAGTCCTAGGGGGAATGTAGGGGCCTCGGAAGCAATTGCCGGGCGTTGATGCTGTCCAGGATGATCTTTGTGATTCACACCACCTACCACAGGAACACGTTAAGACGGTTTTGCGACAGAATGGATACAAAATAAAAACATTTAAACCAATACACAAAAGGAAGAAACAAATTGACGTACAGAGACTACTAGTTTTTCTGCCCTATGTACAAGGGGTGACAGATAAAATAGCCAGGTCGCTAAGGAAGTTTTCCATAAAAACTATTTTCACCCCCTTAACCAAAATAGGAAAAATATTACGTTCACCAAAAGACCACCTTCCTTTACAAACACCGGGTGTCTATAAAGTGAACTGCAGTTGTGGGACCTCGTATATCGGTCAGACTAAACGAACAATTGTCGATCGTATGAAGGAACACATCCGAGCAGTAAAAAACAATGATTCACAGAAGTCGGCTATAGCACAACATCTCACAGACTGACACTAACCACTGGATCGAGTTGTATAGCCCCCAGGTACTCTCGACAGAACGTCACTACATACCACGGTTGGTACGAGAAGCCATCGAGATCACGAAGTACAAAACATTTAACCGTGATGATGGTTTTAAACTGTCCAGTGCATGGAATCCGGTCCTTAGTGCAGTAATAAAAACAAAAACACCTCGAGTTCAGTTTCGCGTGTGGATACAGTGAGTGTGGTTTGTGTGAAAAAAGTGAGTGACAGTGGTAACGCCACAACAAATCGCGATGAAGGTAGTCGTCGACAGCGCAAGAGGGTAGACAGATATGTCTGCTCATAAAGCTGTCATCTGCCGCCGTCCAGTCAACCCGTGACCATGGAGCGTGCAACCGTTCCGAAATATCGGGAAAATAAAAAGAAGTCATACCGTGGTAAGAAACCTGATACTAGTGATAATCATTTAGTGACTTGTTTGTTTACTTTTTGTTCAAAATGGATTAGTAGTTTGTGAAATGGATTGAAACGAAGTATAGTAAACACATATATGTTCTACAAAATCTGACAAGAATAATATCACAAAAACCTGCACTTTGTACTATTCTGGGGAAATGCTGCTGCAACACATATGCCACTATTTAAAAGCCAGAAGAAATGTGTCAGGGCCATGTTTGGTGTGGATCAGTGAGAGAGTTGTGTGACCTTACTTTAGGAAACTAAAGATATTAACCCTACCTTCGATGTATATTTACGAGTTTTGTGTTTATGTGAAACAAAATCTAAGCAATTTTAATATAGTCAAAATTAGATATCCTAGAAACACAAGGAATAAAATAGAAATACGGCCCAAACAACGTCCTAATTTGGAATTTTACGGTAGAACGATGTTCGTATTAGCACCCAAATTATTTAATAAATTGTCGGATGCTGTTAAAGAATTAAATTGTAGACAATTTAAAATGAAATTGCATAATTTGTTAGTTACTCAATTCTATTACAATGATTTTTTACTTGATAATATAATAATGTAATATTTAACAATTGTAATGTTATATTTCTGACTTCTTATTTTCTGGTTAAATTCCAATTGTTGTAGTTTGTTTACGCTATTGTTTTAATTTAACTTTAATGTATGCTACGTCTAGTGAAATAAGTATTGTGTGAAATATTCGCATGACAAGTTTTGGTGAAATGTACGATCTAATATAATATATTTTAGGACCTGCATTGTTAACTACATTTTTTAGCTAATAAATTTCTTGTATTCTTGTATTCTGTTCATGCATGTAGCTTTATACAAGAGCTACTACAGGCTTATATAATAATACTTATATTTTACCTTTTTCAAGGATTCACTGATCGATCATCGGTGATTTTGTTTTTTCATCTTGTTGTTTGTTTTATTCAATTGTCATCGCAAAAGAACAAACATGTTGCTATATAATTTTAGTTTTTAAGTTGGAAGAAATCTCTTTATGGGATAAGCTCGCCTTTGTACACAAATATTTAAATTGTTTCTGAAAATTTGTAAATTACTTTGTGGTACAATAAAGTGTTTAAATAAATAAATAAATAATACTAACATGGTTTTGCAGAATAGTAGCTCAAAGCACATAATAATTTTTATATTTATTAGGTACCTATAGTCAAAATTTGGTTTTCCAAATGAGGAGATGAATATCTACTTATTAAAATGTCTTTGATAAGTAATTCGCATCTTGATTTTATTTTG